GCACAGAGTACAATTAAATTTCCTCGGAATAGTTTTGTCTGAATTGACCACACACCAGCCAGTAAACTATTTTAACTATTTACTCAAATTATCCATTTACCGGTTAACGTATTACGCTCCGTATATTTAAAATTTTTCGCACACTAGATGACTGACACTTGAGAAAGTTTTTGAGCTAGGATTGTCTACCAGATGGGTGTGGTGACCGAGAAGAAAGTTGGACACCAATTCAGCTGAACCATGCTGATTGTGCTAGTATCATCGCAGCTTGTAACGGCAGCGTTAAACAGAGTACCCTACCGACATACGGTCATCTACCTCCCCCCCCTATCGGAAATGCGATGCTGGCTGACTTGCATCCTTTTATTTTGAAAGGCTGAAAGCAAGGAGACATCTGAAAAATACTGTAGCAGATAGTAAGTTTATATTTAGATCAGTCAGGCAGTGCCTTGGACACGCTGATGATAATAATTAACCGTTCTTGGAAAAATGGGACTCAGAAACGTGAGGCTGAGCGATTCGTGTTACAGGCTGATTTATGGCCAATCATTCGACAGGGAAGTTTTAAGCAACAAAAACAACTTTTCACAGTATCGATGATAGCAACTGTTAATGACTCGTATGAGGCGACAATTCAAACAATATGTGCCAGTTTTCTTTGTGAAGACGTAAACGGCAGATTGTATTATTGTAGTCAAGTATTGATTGGTGATTGGTGCGGAGTAAATACGCAAAATGACCACTCGGTCGTTATATTTGGAATTTCAAATTCATGGCACCATATCATGCGTACGTCAACAGTAGGGCGGCAAAGATCAAAGTCGAGAGACGTTGCACGGCGAACATCGTGGGCCAATGTCTTTCAGACTGCGATGTCACATCTGCAATTGCCTGTTTCTGTAGCCCTATTCTCTGTGTTTCAGCTTTTGACGTCTGCTCATCTTCTACCTAACAGACAGTCATCGTCGAAACGAATTTTCTGATAGTACAGCGTTTCGGTCATTAACGTTTCCTCGACCCATTACAGCAAATATATGGCAAATTTTCACCTCCTGCTGTAACGGCAGAGGTTGCACATGATTCAACCTCGCCTTTTCCTGAAGTGGACTGAACTGATGTTAAGAAGATGCCCAGTTCCGTTTACTGCGTATTCTGAGCCGCTACAGTAGACTTGAACGCTTGTCGTTCATTCATTCATTCGTTTATTAATTTGTTTACTTTCATTCATCTGTTCATTTATGAAGCTAAATATCGCCTTCTGGTCATGTAAGCAACGATTTCACTTAATTCT